ACTGAAGTACATATGGGTGTTGTCACTAGGGACAAAGGGTTTAACTCCAGCATTTCCACTTGCAGGAAATGAATTCATTGATGCAAACTGATTCATTTGTGGTTTCTCATCAACAAAAACCATTGTATTGTAGTAATCCTGACCAAGGTTGTTGAAGTAATTAACATTCTGACTCAGATTTGGCTGTGCTGAATTCAGGATTGCCTTGGCAACTGGTTTCATTGAGTTCACGGCACGCTTTGGAGACGCACGTGGAGATTCATCTGGGAAGTTCACCTTGGCTTTCTTGCCACGAATTCTCCGTGCCTCAGCATCATAAGCTCTTGCAGCTTCTTCAGCAGTGTTAAAAGTACCTAACCAGACCCTGACCCCCTTCCTTGGGTCACGGATTTCAGCAGCCCATTTGCCCCAAGGGCGTTGCCTGATTCCCCTGTATTGGTTCTTCCTCTTTCTTTTTGCAGATTTCTCTGCCAGCCCATTGAATTCCACAGCTTTCACAGGCTTTGATCCTAAAATCAAATGCAAAGGAGGAAGATATAAGAATGAAGTTAACATAGACAAAAATAAATGATGTTACAAGTGTCAGGGTAACCAATTAAGCATTTTCACAAGCATCTGCAGACTTGGCTGGGAAGAGGAAACGATTCACTTGTCTTAACCATCTACTAAAACTATCCATCCACGAGAATTCTACCATGATTCAAATAACTCTAGTTATAAGATGAAAAATAAAGCATAAGCAACCAATCCAGATAGATATCGATCATTAACCAAATTCACAAAGAGACTCTAAACTTAAAATTAAGAGGGGAAAATATGCAAACTGATGGTGATAGCTCAAAGAATTTATAGATCGCCAATAGAAGCATTCTCAAAAGGGCGATCAACAAACCAATCTACAACCAAGAGCCAAATATTGGCAGTTAGCCCTGCAGCAAAACCAATTACAGACTCACCATAACAAAATGCCAACTTCAAAGTTGATGGCGATTACATTTTGAAATACCCACTATACAGGCAGTAAAACAATCCATCACAATTAACTTCAAAAGAAGAATCAATTCAAAATCCCACGAAAGGAACCTACAAAAAATAAAACATACTGAAAATGGTAACTCGGGAGGTCATCAAAAAATAATAAACCGTGCGATTAAATCTAGGTAGAGTTATTTTTCACATGTTTAGATCTAAATAGTCAACCTTCTTTGTTGTATGTCTCCAAACAGTTTTTCAAGGAAATAAACAGAGAAGCTAAAGGGAATTTCAGATTTTGGGAAAATAATGAGAAACACGAAAATAAATGGGGAAATTTGGGGGAACGACAGTGTAATTACAGCAGTTCCAGGATCTAAACCCAAGGAAGAAAAGAAGCAACAGAAAAACCTGGACTGAAGTTAAAAATCAAAATTTTCTGTTATGTTAATCATTAATTACAGATGAAAAGTCCCAGATTAATGTTCTGAAGGCCGAAGCATTTCCAAAAGAATTACCATTCATCGTATTAAGCCAAATTCTGATCCTTTTAAAACCAAACTGCTAGAGTAAAAGACCAAAAGCAAAACTGTTAAAGCATAATTTCCCCAAAAACTGATCACAAAAAATAGAAAATTTTCGGTCAAACCACCTAAAAAAAATTTACCCAGGAGAAATTAAGCAGAACCCCCTCAACCCAATATGAAAATCGGAAGGAAAAAAAATCCTTTCATGGCTCAAAAAAGTCATAAAGCAAAATAAAAAGAACCTAATTACACATTCAAGTAAGCATGATCGGAAATGATTTCCGCGCCAAACGGTCAAAAATGCAACGAAGCCGCCAAAACGAAGGAGCTTCGCCTATAATCAACAAAATTCCACTCCCTCAAAAAACATTTTTGCGAAAAAAAAAATTCAGTGAAAAACTTGTTAAACCCCCCACAAAATCGCAGAACATTAACATACACGAGAAAAGACAGAAAGAATCATCCACAAAATAAAACCATTAAACCATCTAATTAGCATAAGCTACATGTAAACAATTATACATATTAAAAGAGAGAGGAAAAGTGGTTACCATTGGAGAGAGCAGAGGCTGTGGTTTTGCGGGGAAGAGGAGTTGCAGAGAAGGCAAAGGGCTTAATATCAGAGAAGACAGCATCAATATCGTCGAGATCTTCGTCGACGTCAATATCGGATTCGTCGTCCTTGAAGCCCTGGAAATCAGCCTCGAAGTCATCGTCCAAGTCGACAACCTCAGACCTCTTGGAGCTCTTCTTAGACTTCCTATTCCTGTTCAGATCGGGCCATAAGTAGTCGCGGTCAACTTGCACGACCGAGTAGTAGCGGTGGGTATGAAATCGGAGATTATAGCACCTCCACACATGGCTTACTAATGGCAGAAGGTAGAAGACGAGGTGTAAGGGAAACGAAAGTTTGAGTTGGGTGGTGAAATGACAAATTTTCTTGCTTTTGTATGTTTTGTTTTAGGTGCTGAAGCTGATAAAACATGAGAGGGTTTATTATAGGGGGGTAGTTGGGGATTTTTTTTTTTAAAATGATTTTTGGACATGATTTGACCATTTTACCCTTTTGGATTCGGATTTTTATTAAATGACTTTTTTAGGATTAGATGTAAATCTGATTTTTTTTTGCTTGGAGAACACACTCCCCCTTGATTACTAATTATAATTTTTTTTAAATTAAAAAAAAAATCTAATTTTAATAATTTACTCCAATAATTCTAATTTATTAACTTAATACCGCATTAAATACAAGATTTATTACATCAGTAAATCCTTAAAATACGTAAATAAAATCTACTTAAGATATTCTTTGATTTATTATATTAATGATAAAATCTAGCAACCTTAATATAGGAGATATTATATTAAAATAATTTATTTACATTGGTAATTCACTACAGTAAATTTAATTTTGCATGGTAATTTTTTTTGGGTGAAAATATAGCATATTGGAAACTAAGAATATATAATTCATTATTTACTATAACCTTAAAATTTTAGAAAATAAAATTAAACACTCAACACAAATTTTGAAAATGTTGCTTTGAATTAATTTACATTTATAAGAAGGAATTATTCATTTGCATGGGTGGCATTCTTTTTATAAAATATTGTGTGTTTTCGTATATCTTTATCAAAAATATTTGTTATAATTAATGTATACGTATCATAATGGCTAGTTTAGAAAATAAATTTTTTAATGAGAAATTATACATTAATAAAATGATCACATTCCCCGACAAATAAATATTATATATATATATATAAGTCTAAATAAGATTACAAATTTCCACTATGTATGATTCTATTATTGAGAGTATTCGAGGACTACAGTTCTTAACCAAAACTTTGAAGTTTCAATTATTATGATCTCTAAAATACTATTAATTTAACCAATTATAAATTTGATAATAATTTTCCAAGTGGGTTTGTTTACCATCTTTGACTAAAAAAAGAAAGGTGAGTTGATTTGAATAACATAACTTGTCTTGAATTCATACGAATGCCTCCCCCTCCCTCCTCGAATTACTAATTCAAGCTACTAATAATAATTAAAAAAAGTCACACCCACCCTTACCCCACATTTCTCTTTTTCTTCTTAAAATTAATAAATTGCTTCATATATTAAATGCCAATGATGTAATTAAAATATTTGTGTTATATTTTAAAATTACAAAATTAGATTTGTTTGAAAATATAAAATTAAATATATTAATCATTAAATTCAGTTGGGTTATATTTTTTGAAAAAAAAAATAAATAAATGGTGACTAAATTCTTTTAATTGAGGTTGAGAAAAATTCTTACCTAATTTTTTTTTGTTATTGGGTGACAATTTACATGTTTTACCGGCATAATTTTATTGGTCGACAATATTTAATTTCAATTAAGTACATTTATGATGATATACAATATATTTCCTTTCTGGCACGGCAATGCATCAACCACGTGCTTTACATATAAGGTGACAGAAAATTTCCCTTTTTTTTTTTTTTTTTTTTTACTAATTAAAAATGTTTATACCGTACACAAAAATTATGAATCCCAAACTTTCAGAATATAAAATTTATTATAACTATTTTTTTTTTTATTTTTTTGTTTTAAAATAAATTATTTAATTTTAATAATTTATTATTTCAACTTATAGAAAATAATTAATTTATTGTTTGTATACACACGTACATAATTTTGGTCTCAGTCAGACATGAAATTGAGCGCACAAAATAATATTAGTTATAAACAAGAATGGCACCTGGACAGGTTCATGGTGAGTTTAAATTCTGTAGACAGTATTAAACTTACAAATTATTTAAACTCAAATTAATATAAATATATTTATATTAGTAATAAATTAGTAAATCCGAATCTAACTCGACACTAAATTTGTAATTTTGACAAAAATACATGGCATTGAAATTCTGGTTCTAGACTTCTAGAAGTCCGGAAGAGGAAAGTAGAATAGGCTTCAGGAATCTTGGAAAATCATTTACTGCGGTAATTATCAGCGGAAAGGCCAATAATAATCTGGAAAAACGGTGAGGTAAAAAACAGGTTCATGCACTCAAATCTGGCATAAATATAATAATACGCTCAAAATTCACAAGGCGACAAAATTAAGAAGATAAAGTTAGTAGAGAAATGGGACCCACACGCAGACGGAGGTAAACGTGGAATTTCAGAGTTTGCAAAATAAAATGAAAATAAATTACATAGAAATGGTAATTAATTATTTAAATAAATAACTAATAAATTGATATTGATGATTCTCAATTGGCTAGTGGGTAATTGGGTGAGCATATTTTTCTTTTTTTTTCCCCTTCCAATTTGAAATTATAATAATCAAATTTAATAAGTAATTGCAAATGGGTTACGAATAAAGTATTTAACCTAACTTTTAATTTTAGAAATTCCAATTCGTCAACCAATATGTTACATACTAAATATTAATTAAATTGGGTTTATCCTAAACATCTTTTTTTTTTTTAATCAATTACCAAGAAGTTGTTATTTTACTTGACAACAAATTCATTACGGTCTGGTCAAATTTTGAATCGCCAAATACATTTTTTTTTTTTTTTTTTTTTTAAATTTCTCTGCCTGAAAAGTCAACATAATCAACGTCAATTCACCCAATATGATTCCAAAATGGCTGTTTTGATGTAGGTACGGCTCGTGCTGGCCACGCGTCACACTATTTTTTTTATTTTATCATATAATTTTGTTTTGTGTGGCAAGTGGACTGGACTGCAATACTATGCTCATCATTTGAAGGGTTGACAGGCTGACCGATCAGACGGCTGGTATCATCTGATGTACTATTATACTTGTGGGCCCAGTATAAATTAAAATGGTCCCAGTCGCAGGCGGCCCTGTTCCCTATCAAACAACATAACAATATAAAATTTAATTTATCATTCCACTTCAAATTTACAATCTCTTAATGAGTTGAGCATTGATTGTACTGAAAAATGTAAATTTCAGAGCCAACTGGGGGGAACTGCAGTACGTATATATATATATGTGTGTGTGTGTGTGTGTGTGTGTATGTATAGTTGAATTCATATACAGAAATGAGATGGTGATGAAAAATTGATGGCTTAAAATAAAATATAGTATTGATTTCAAGATGTAAATTTTATTTTTTTTCTGTTAAATTGCAATAAATGTAGGTAGTATATTCCATATGCAAATTTCAGAACGATGATGAAAGGGATGGTGCATATGCAGGGTGTATATGTACATGTAACTGTTTCGTGCAATACATGACAAAACGTACATAAATTATTAGACCATGACCCTGTCGTGTCTGTGTACTATGCATTT